GTGGTCCGTCGGTGTAATTATTTACGTGAGTCTTAGCGGAACCTTTCCGTTCAACGAAGAAGAGGACATATCGGATCAGATAACGAACGCTGCCTTCATGTTGTCAGTAGTCTTGCTATTTGTCTTTTATTCAATAAAGTCTTCATTTAATTGATAACATCTCTCAATCTCTCGTACGCTAACAGCCCTCCCGATCCCTGGAATCAGATATCTCCCGACGCCGTCAATCTCATCAGTAATTTATTACAAGTGAAGACACGAAAGAGATTTACAGTCGAGAAGTCTTTACTCCACACATGGCTTCAAGTGAGTCAACGAATCGCTAATTAGTTTCCTATAACTCAATACACAGTATTGCATACAATGTGATTAACATGTATTCTAATTGGCACCTTGCTCATCACAATTTATTCTTGCATACATGATTATTTCTATTGAATATTGAGTGAAATCATTGAAACCATGCATTCATTCATTGCATATATAGGACTATGAAGTTTGGTGTGACTTAAGGGAACTGGAGTCCAACGTAGGCGTGCGTTGGGTGACCCACGAGTCGGATGACGACCGCTGGAAGAGATACGCCGACGACCACAACCTCCCGCCCCCTAAAATAGACACAATCGTCACGAATGACGTGACTATGGATGAGAACAACGAAAATAGCAATTCTAATACAACCAGTTATCACAATCATAATCATCACCACAACGGCTCCAGTCATACCACTGGCAGCACAAGCCCTACAAAGAATATACGCCTTTAAAGCACATATAATATACTTCTTCTACAATAGACATCGTCTCTTCATTGAACTTATGGTTGGAAGCAATGCTTTGTCTCAATGATAATTAAATCAATTGTTTTCATTTATAATACCAATCAATCGATTGTCCGCATCTTAACGTCGAAAACAAAACACATTTTACAAAACATAGGCTACAATTGAGAGACAGTTTTGGCACAAAAATTATTTTCAGCCAATTTTCTCCAATATCAGAGAATTCTGTGATTTTAGCGACAAATTAATGGCTTTTTGAAAATTATCATTAATTCTTATATCAATTTAATGGCAATAACTCTCAAAATTCACCCCGCTTCTTATTCAATCCTTTAATTTTACATTTCATTTATTCAGTCATTAAACACTTGAATCATATTTTTGAAAATCAAATGCATTTTTGGTTTTCGCTTTTTTAAAGATATTGATGTTTTTGTGCCTCATTTTTGGATACTTTGCCTCAAATCCATTACAATGGACTCCAAACCCAATCACTGTCTCTTAAAACTGTTTTTCTTTGTCTTCCAGTTTTTCAAATCACACTTTCATTTAGATGTCCTTCAAATCAATGAATGGATTATCGGTTTTTCATTCCCTTTTTCTATTCAGAATTAGTACAACAAATTTGCACCACCTTTTTGCTGACAATCTATTAACACTATTACCTATTGGACCAAAAACAATATTTGGACAATTGGTATATATTTTAAAACTCAATTAAAACAAATTCTTACGAAAAAAAAGACTATTTTTCAACTTTTCAATTCAAATTTATGTTTTATTAGGCTTTTTCTACTTATCAGATAATTTGTTGATTTAGTCTTTTATTCATTGCATTAATAAGTTATATGTTATGAAAGACAATACATCCAGACATTCCAAGAGGTAAAACAGTAGCACAAGAACTCCAAACGAATCAAAATAATGACACAAATATAAATTAGTTATAAAAAAGTTTTTATCAACAAAAACAATTTGTTAAACAAATCGCGAATTGATCGGTGCTTTTGATAAGAGTTTTAAAAACAGACATTTTCATTACCATAATGATTACAATTAGGATTTAATTATTATTTTATACTCGACTCGAGTTTTTTTGTTAAGAAATTAAGTTTTAGTGTTTCGTTTGAACACTTAATTTGGATTA